GCAGCCATTGTTCGCCCATTACTGCTAACAGGGCTTTGCCATTTTTCGCACGCACTATTCACCAAACCGCACACCGATGGCCTGGCCGTGTCGGCCTACGCTTCAGGGCTAGCCCGAGCCTCGATGCCAGTGTCGCACTAGCTAGCTCACACTCTCAAGAGTAGCTAGGAATAGAAACGGATGGGATACAAATATGCAACCCTAACAACTGTACCCCCTATAAGGCATCTCATTACAGCTTACAAGAGTTATTATAGTTTGACACACCCCTATAGGCTAAGTGAGGGGTATGAAGGAGACAAACAAGTGACAGCAGATGGTCACAAGACCAGTCAAGAGCAAGCAACAAAACAAGGCTCAGGGAGACGCTCAAAGTCACCACACACTCCGAGCACAAACAAGCGCTCACAAGGCCAGTTTATATAGCAAAGCAAAAAAAGCAGAGCCAATAGCAAGACTACATCAACCAAGGGCCTACCTCAACAAGCCCTAGATGCACACTGAACCTGTGGTGGTCACAAGGCGCTAAGGCCTTCGTGAAGACGTCGGTAGTGTTGGCCTCTCCGGCCACAAAGTCGAAGCATGCCTGGTCGCGTCGCTGTAACTCTCGCAGGAGAAGGTACCTCACGTCAATGTGCTTCACTTTGCTCTCCAGTCGAGGCTCTCGACACATGATGATCATGGCCTTGTTGTCAGCGTACAAGGTCGGTGCAGAGCGAGGCCACTGACCAAGGTCGGCGAGCAAGAAGGTCAATCAGCGAAGCTCCTGTGCCGACATGGCACCAGCGTAGATCTCTGCCTCTGCACTGGACGAAGCCACAGACGGCGACCGTGTAGACCTTCACGACACAACACCAGCACCGAGGCTGAAGTAGCCCTGCGTCGAATGCTGTGTCTCTACGTCGTCAGCGTACCAAGAGTCACACTGACTGGTTGGCTGAGTCCCTCTAAGCACAAGCCCCATGCCTGATGTAGTCGCCAGGTCTTCGCCACCCTCACAACAACTTTCCAGTAAACATGACGGTGTCTCCCATTCGCAACAAAACGGGAGAGGACGCTGAGGGGAAAGGCGAGGTCCGGCCGAGTACAAGTCATCAGATACATGAGGCAGCCCACAAGCTCTGCATAGGGACTATTAGACTCAAAGGGCTCGTTGGAAAAGGGGCCAGTAAGTCTGTGGTCAACAGCAAGAGGAGTAGGCTGGGTGGTGGAGAACTGAAACTCGAACCGCCGAAGGACCTGCTGCACCATGTGTGACTGCGTCAGTGTGATGGTGCGAGCGACTATGTCCCTGGTGATTTGCAGGCCAAGGTAGCGCTGCGGTTCACCGATGTCAGTGCATATGTGTCTCTTCTGCAGTTCGGACTTCACCTCAGCCAGAGCTGCCATGTCTCCTGTAGCAAAGACCAAGTCATCGACGTAGACAAGTTAAAGAAAGGAGTGGAACCAGCGTGAACAAACAGCGACGGGTCAGCAGAAGAAGGACGGAACCCAAGGTCACAAAGCGTGGAACGAAGAGAGTCGTGCCACTCACGGGGCGACTTGCGGAGACCGTAGACTGGTCGCTCCAGGCTCCACTGGGTCCCAGGTGGGAAGGTGTCAGGGAAGCCAAGAGGTCGCCGCAGCCAGACCTCCTCGTGTAGGCAGCCCTGGAGAAACGCAGTGGAGAAGTCGAGGGAGTGCAGCTCGTAGTCTCGTTGTGCTGCTACGTGCAGTAACACTCAAAGAGTAGTCATCTTCGGGGTCGGGGCGAAGGTCTGGAATATGTCAACTCCCTCACGCTAACTGAAACCCCTAGCCACGTAGTGCGACTTGAACATAGGCGGTGGTGATCCATGCGGCCGCTTCACCTTGAAGAGCCACATGCCATCGACAATGTTCGCCCTAGAAGGGGGAACTGAGTCAACGTAGGTGCCTGTGGATCTCCAAGACGCTTACTCTTAGTCCATAGCCGCTTTGCACTAAGATGCCCACTCCACTGACACTGCCTCACGGTACGTGCGAGGAGTCGGAATGTCAAGGGCGTCAGGATCTCCCTCAAGGGAAAGCAGCATGGCACAAAGAGAGGGAGAAGCAGCTGCCAAGAACTCCAACTCAAACTGCTTGTGCTCTAGGACATCACAGCCAAGGGCAAACTCACCCCAGGTGGACAGAGGATGGGCAGGCGGAGCAGCCACTACACGCGTGGCAAAGTCAATCCGGTGGGTAGAAGCTAAGTCGGCGACAGCGGCAGTAAGAGCCGAGACAGACGACGGAGAGGCACGAGGGTCGGTGACAAGAGAGGCAAGAACACGCGAGACAACTGGACGAGCAGCACGGTAGTAGTCGGTGATAGGGTGAGAGGAGACAGTGAGAGTCGACGCAGGAGGTGCAGGAGAATAGACACAGGCGGAGCATGACGGTGACTAGAACGAAACAAGATAGTGCGGAGGTTGTCAAAAGGAGACGAGGGACGAGCACACGGATTACAACAAGTGGTCCAGACGTGCGGGAGAACATG